GCCCTCCGTCTTATTCCCTTCCTCCTTCCCCCTCCCTTCCTTATCTCCTTCCCTCCTCCCCCCTCGTCCCTCTCCCTCTCGCCTCCTCCCTTCCCCCGTTCTCCGTCCTTATCTCCCTTCCTCCCTTCCCCTCTCGTCCTCCGTCCTTATCTCCCTTCCCCCTTCCCTTTCGTCCTCCCCCTCCCCCTCCCTTCCTCGCCCTTCCTCTCCCTCTCGCCCCTCCTCCCTTTATCTCCCTTCTCCCTTCCTTCCCTCCCCCGTTCCGTCCTCTCCCTCTCGCCCTTCCTCCCTCCCCCCTCGCCCTCCGTCCTTATCTCCCTTCCTCCCTTCCCCCTCTCGTCCTCCGTCCTTATCTCCCTTCCTCCTTCCCCTCGTCCTCCGTCCTCCTTCTCCCTTCCTCTCCCTCCTCCCCTCCCTCTCGCCCTCTGCCTCCCTTCCCCCTTCATCCTCTCCCTCTCGCCCTTTCGCCGTCTTTTCGCTCCGAGACATTCCCAGAGACTCGTTTGTGTCGTCTCGGTTCGCTTTATATATCACACGCGGGCCTCAGTCTCACCTGGGTAATTAGTGCTGACGTCGGCTATGTGGATGCAGGCTTTCTTTTCTTCTTCTTCTTCTTCTTCTTCTTCTTCTTCTTCTTCTCTTCTTCTTCATCCTATTTATCTATCTGTTTTTTTTTTTTTTTTTTTTTTTTTTTTTTGCTATGGAGGTGTCTTCTTTTCTTGTTTTTGTTTTTGCTGTTCTCGTGTGTGTGTTTATTTATATCCAAGTCCTCTTCCATTCTTAATCTTTTTTTTTCATCAATTTTTCCATTTCTTGGCGTTTATTTAGATTTAATTACATTACAGTTTAATGATTGCTACAGTGTTTCAAGGAACAAATTGCATACATTCGTAATGATAATTATCTCTATTCCAACACTAAAACCATTCTTCTCTTATCTACTTCCTTATCTATCCCTACCACAGTCATCAAAATTGCATATCCCTTTTTAACGCTAACCCAACAATAATCCTACTTTCACACCCCCCCCCCCGCCCCCCCCCCTTATCCTGCTGCCTCTCCCTCGCAAGCGCCAAAGCTGCAACTGCTGCGACGAAGAGAAGAAGAGGAATAATCCTTTACGGCCACTTTTTCTCGTCTTCGGATCTCAACGAGCGGGACGGGAATTCGCCTCAATTAACGGCGCTGTTGAGTGGGCTTCGCGGAGGTAAACAGGGAGTCGCTTAATTTATGCGCACAGGAAGAGAGTCATGTATATATGTATATGTGTATATTATATTATATATATATATATATATATATATATATATATATATATATATATATTATATATATATAATATATATATATATGTATATAATATATATATATATATATATAGATATATATATATATATATATTAGTATTATATATATATATGTATATATATATGTGTGTGTGTGTGTGTGTGTGTGTGTGTGTGTGTGTGTGTGTGCAATATTATATATATTATATATATATATATAGAGAGAGAAGAGAGAGGAGAGAGAGAGAGGAGAGAGAGAGAGAGAGAGAGAGAGAAGAGAGAGAGAGAGAGAGAGAGAGAGAGACAGACAGACAGAGAGAGATGTATATAGATGCACATTCCAGGTAATTATAACAATGCTACCAAAAACAAAACCTTTTTGGCGGAGATAATAATAACAATAATAATGATAATGATATCAATAACAATGACAATAATAATGTTTTATGTTAATAATAATCATAATAGTAATTATAATGATGATAATGATATCAACTAGAAGCACTCAGAGAGCGCATACCACCGCCAAGGCAATAGGGCTACCGATGCAATGAAAATATTCAATTCATCATCATCATTCATCATTATCATCATTGTTATTAGTATTGCTATTAATATCACTGTTATTCTTACCACCATCATTACCATCATTATAATTGCAGTAATAACAATAACTGTAATAATGACAAGTTGAATAGCAACAATAACAATTGACGTTAATAAAAAAAATTCATTATCTGAAAGAAAAACAATCACATATTAATAAATAACTAAAGAAAAGGTAAACAATCATAATCAACATTCATAAGGTAAAAGGTAAACAATCATTAACATTCATATTAGTAAGGTAAACAATCACATAACATTAATAAATAACTAAAGAAAAAGGTCAACAATCACATAACATTCATAAGGTAAAATGTAAACAATCACATAACATTAATGAAGAACTAAAGAAAAGGTAAACAATAATATAACATTTACAAGGTAAAAGGTCAACAATCACATAACATTCATAAGGTAAAAGTAAACAATCATAAATTAATGAATAACTAAAGAAAAGTAAACATCACATAACATTCAAAGGTAAAAGTAAACAATCATAACATTAATGAATAACTAAAGAAAATGTCAAACAATCACATAACATTCATAAGGTAGAAGGTAAACAACCATATAACATTCATGAATAGCTAAAAAAAAAATTTGGTGTTTGTCTCCGTCGGGAATCGAACCCGGAATTCTCGCTTTGGAGGCGGCTGCGTTAACCATTACACCACGGAGACTTTATAAATTCATGCTTAGAAGAAATATTTATTCAGTGAAGAATTTAATTTATTTTTTTTTTTTGGGGGGGAGCGAGTTTGTTTTTTGGTTCTTTGTGATATACGCATTTATACTGTTTTGTGGTGTGTGTGTGTGTGTTATTTATTTATTTTCTTTATAAATTCTATTTTGTTAATCAATTCCTTCTCTCTGTCATTCTCTGCTTTTATTCCTCTCTCTCTCTCTCTCTCTCTTCTCTCTCTCTCTCTCTCTCTCTCTTCTCTCTCTCTCTCATCTCTCTCTCTCTCTCTCTCTCTCTCCTCTCTTTCTCTTTCTTTTTTCTCGTCTTTCTCCTTTCCTTTCTCTCGTCTCCTCTCTCTCTGCTCTTGTCTCTCTCCTCTCTCTCTCCTCTCTCATCTCCTCGTCTCTCTACTCTCTTCTCTGGCTCTTCTCTCTCCTCCTCTCTCTCTCTCTCTTCATTCGTCTCTCTCGCTCTTCTCTATTCGTCTCTCTCTCTCTCCTCTCCTCTCTTTCTTCTCCTCTCTCTCTCTCTCCCTCTTCTCTCATCTCTCTCTCCTCTCTCTCTCTCTCTCTCTCTCCTTCTCCTCTCCTCTCTCTCCCCTCTTCTCTCTCTCTCTCGTGTCCCTCTCTCTCTCTCTTCTGTCTCTCTCTCTATCTCTCTCTCCTCTCTCTCTCTCTCTCTCCTCTCCTCTCTCTCTCTCTCTCTCTCTCTCTCTCTCATCTTCACTCTCTCTCTCTCTCTCATCCCTTTTTTCTACCTTCGTTCTCCCTCTCGCTCTTTCCTCTATTCGTCTCTATCTCTTTCTTTCTCCTCTGTCTCCATCCTCGCCTCCTTTCTCTCTTTTCGTCCTCTCGCTCTCCTCTTTCTCTCTCTTATTCCTCTCCTTCTCTCTCCTCTCTCTCTCTCTCTCTCTCTCTCTCCCTCTCTCTCTCTTCTCTACTCTCTTTTCTCTCTCCTCTCTCCCTCTTCCCCCCCTCCGCCTCTCCTCTCTCTCTCTCTATCTCTCTCTCTCCTCTTCTCTCATCCTCCTTCTCCTCGCGCTCCCTCTCTCATGGGTCTCTTCTCTCCTCTCCCCCTCTCCCTTCTCCCACCTCCTCTCTCTCCGTCCCTCATCTGTCTCCATCCCTCTCCCCCCCTCTCCTCCCGTCTCTCTCCGCTCTCTCTCTCTTCCTGCGTTTCTCCTCTCTCTAAATCTGATAAAAAATAATAAAATATGTTCAATAACTTTTTGAGTTATAATGTTACCCATCCTGGATCTAGATCAAGAAAAGGATCACCACCAAAATATAATGGCATCTATGTCACGCTAAGACACATCTCGGGTAAACAATTCATAAAAATCCGTTCATAATTTTTTGAGTTATCCTGCTAACCAACTAACAAACTAACTAATGCTACCGAAAAGATGAGGGTAATAATAGTAGTAATAATGATAATGATGATAGTGATAATGATAACAGTATGAAAATAATGAAATGATAAAATAGTGATGATAATATTCATGATAATAATAATAATAACAATATTATTAATGCTTGTGAAAATTACGATAATTGCAATAAAAATCCTGAGAATCATGATAATAATAAAGATAATAGTAATAATGATGAGGATAAATGTTATCACTAGCATTTTAGTTATCATACCAATAATAATAGCATTAAAAATGATAAGCATAACGATTATGATGATGATTTTTATAATGATGATTATGATAGTCATGATAACAATACTTATAATAGTAAAATTGATAATAATGACAATGATGATGATAATGATAATATAAATAACAACAATGATAGTAGCAGTAGTAATGATGATATTGATAATGATAATGATAGCAATGATAATAATAATGAAAATGATAATAATTACAATAATGATAGCAATTACAATACCAATAATGATAAAAATAATAATAATAATAGTAATAATGATAGTAATTATGATAACAATGATAATAATAATAATAGCAATAATAATGATAATAATAACAATGATAATATTAATAATAGTAATGATAATAATATTAATAGAATAATGCTAATAACAATGATAATAACAACACAAATGATAGTGATAATAAAGATAACAATAAAAATGGTAACCATAACAATATTAATGAATATCATTATCATTATGGTTGTGCTAATAATCATATTAATACTAATAAGAATGATCGTAATAATAACATGATAATAGCTTCCAGAAATCATAATAACTAATAATTAATAATATAAAACAACACCAAACACGCCAAGTAACATTGACAGTGAACACAAGCAGGAAATAAAGAGAGAAAAAGAGAAAAGAAAGAAGAAANTCCATCCACCGCTGCGACCTGGACCCAGAGAAATAGTAGGCTCAAGAACGCTTCTCGCACACGCAGTACTCCGGTAAGGTAAGGGCGCGGCTCGGGACTCTTCTCTGGAACGTTGGTTCCCTCAAACCTTGGACTCCAAGCCTGCGTGCAGTGCAACTCGCCCTATTTGAGGTGACTCCGCTGGCCGGCCGTCCGGCTGCCGGGAAGTCATTTTAAACTTTTGCTTTCCGAAGGGCTCCGGACGAGGGCAGGCCTTTTTGCGTGTTCCATTAGCAACTCACCACTGAGAGCGAGAGAATTATCCGGCCAGCTGTAAACAACATAATATACTATTGCATTGTTTGTTACCGCGAGTGATAACCGGATTAATGTGTTACACTCATGTCTCACTAAGAAGTGCACTACCTTATTAGAGTGAGTTCCAGTTTTCAATTGATAAAGACCAATAATTTTACATAGTACATTCGTTTACAATAGAGAAGATTTACATAGTAGTCTTGTACATAAAGATTACATAGTAGTAAGCAACACACTTATACAGGATACTAAATAATAATAAATAATAACTACATCCTTGTAACCTAAATTTGCATGTTGGTTCCGATAACCGGGTAAAGTTCTGTACAAGAATGATATAGAGCAGTGTCATTATAAGCAAAATTTACATAGTAGTCTGTACATAAAGATTTACATAGTAGTCTGTACATAAAGATTTACATAGAGTCTGTACATAAAGATTTACATAGTAGATCTGTACATAAAGATTTACATAGGTAGTCCAGGTACACTATAAGACCGGATTTATAACATAGTGTAGGTCCTAAAGTAGCATAAACAGAGTTCACTGATACCATAGTAGTTAGGTGAGGCGACTCTGTATAGAGTAATGAGTTTAATAATTAGTAGTCTCTGAATAACGATAAGATTTAACATAGTAAGCTGTGCATAAAAGATTTACATAGCAGTCTGTACATAAAGAATTACAAAGTAGGTCTGTGCAATAAGAGATGCTTGAGTCATAGTCTAGTCCTTCACACTACCACCGAATTTACATAGTAGTTCCTCATGTTACAATAAAGATTTAGCCATCCCAGTAAAAAAATGGGAGCCTAAAACTGGTACAACGGGAACTTAACAGAAGACGGCAGTCATAATAGACCCACCTGTACTACTACAAAAGCCCGGAGACAATAGTCTCGTGCAGATAGTATGACGACAACCGAGAGAGAGCTATTAAAGCGAAAAGCATCGAGGATAACACAAATCGGCGCTGGGGTGACCACGGGGATTCGTTGCCTTAGAGGAATATTGGCGAAAGGCACTCTAAGCCTGGCTGTAGCAACTCCTTTCCCTTGGTTTGGGTACCAGTAAGGGAGAGGGACAACCTGTACTAACACCATGAGGATCTATGGGAAGCGGCCACGTGTCTCTCCAAAGTGTGGTGTGGGTAACGTGGGCACAACCACGCGGCAAATTAAGCAAAAGAGATATACGTAGTTATGAGAGTAGCTATGTCTTATCGGAGTAATTAGAATGATATTTGATAGCTAACATCGGAGCTCTTATCATAAGATGGCAACAAGGAGGTAGGAATATCATGGAGTGATATAATGATAGAAAACACGTTCAGTGGATTTATAGTCTTTGTATTTATCATTGGCGTATAATTGGTTTTCTCTGTTATTGTTGCTATTACATTATTGTCTACGTACATGATAGCAGGAATTGTGTAATATATTTATAATGGTATGTATAATATTTTTGTGAGCAATCATTATTGTTATTATTGTTTATTATTACTGTAATTATACATTGTTATCATTATTTATTGATTATTGGCTTTTCAATAACCATTATTATTAGCATATGTATTATTGTTATTATTAACATTATCATCATTATTTAGTAGTATGTAATACGCGTAGTATCAGTACTAGTATATTTAGTACTATCATCATCATTATTATTATTCAACCAAGTTCATTACCATTTACTATCATATTAGATTCGTTGTTTGAGCTGTTATTGAGTCCATCATAATATTGTATGCCAAATCTATAGTAACATTCCTTTTACTACTATCGTTATTACTACTTCATCATCATTTCATTACATTATCATATTATAATCATTAATTAAATAATTATTATAATTTATTGTTGAGTTATTTTACCTGTTATTGATACGATTATTCATACTTTTATATATTATTAGATGCATTATTATTATTATCATTATTAATGTGTTATATTATTATATCTTAATAATTATCATTTGTTTCATAATATCCACCATTAGACACATTTATTTTTCATTATTCAATATTATTCATTATTGGTTATTATTACAAATGAGTAATTATTATGCATAAATCATTAATTAGTAATTATCTAATTAATGTTAGTTATTTTGTTATCATTATTAGGATATTATCATCATAAATTAATTACTGACTTAGGTGTATTGTTATGAAGGTATTTGTTATCAGCAATTATAATTAATACATTGTCTATATTTGATCAATATTACCTATATCAATTATCATGCTTGTAAGCATCATGTTAATCATCATCTTTATTATTGTATATGTTATTCAACTAAGTCATGCATTCGATATACATCAATAATCAAAGATTATTATTGATTATACAAGTATGTTCATACATTATGGTTGT